GCCCTGCGCGCCCCGCCCCCGCGCCCCACGTGCCGCGACCCGGCCAATGGGCGATCCGCGCGCGCGGACCCGGATCAGGAAACGTGCGGGGGCGTGATGGATGCCGCTATCCACCCGGGCGGGAGGAGCGAGCAGGGGCTTGGGTTCTTCAGCCCCCCAACTTGGATTCCGGCTGAGAAATCGGTGCCTGTTAGGCTATGGGTCCTTTCGAGCCCCCTTCCTGCCCAAGTCTGTCCTAGGCCTTGGGGCAGCTGGTCTCCAGGGCTCAGCGCTGACTTCCTGTCCATCCAGGCCTCGGGTGATCCTCCAGGGGTTCGAGGCCTTCCAGGAGAGGGAAGGACACTGGGACCAAGAGGCAGACCCTGGCTTTTTATCCTAACTCCGGAACAAAACGAAGGAGGCCTACAGACCCGTTTTTTTCGCCCATTGATTCCTCACCAACACCCTGCACATCCACCCAGCTGCTGGGGGTGGGGGGGTCCCTGCTTTGCGAAGCCGGCCTGGAGCCGCACAGGAAGGGTGGGTGGAATGGACCGCTGAACAGTCCAGTCAAGGATGTCCAGCGAGGGCGTTCCAGTAAAACCTCATGGATGCTTAATTTTTTTTCTTTCTTTTTTTTCCCCCCAGAGGCAGAATTTGTACAGCATTTCATTTACGATTTGGAACTTCCCATATTGCAGTTGATGGAGGGGCAGACGAGAGCTAAACATGCCTCCTTTACCAGGCGCTGTTGTGAGACCTCCACCCTAGAATGGGGATGCACAAAACCCGGCTTGAATCCAGTAACTTCGCATTACAGAACAAACTCCAAACAAAAACAAGCTTGAGATAGAATAAGACCCTTGCGGGGTCTGATCGTCCATCGGCCTTTTCTAACCTTTTTTTTTTTCCTCCTCCTCCTTTTGGATGCTGTTTTCTCAGGCTGTATCAGCGGCGAGGGCTATATTTACAGGACAGCCTGTAATCCCTGAATTGCTGAAAATTAGCATATTAACGATATCAGTAGCTCCGGAAAGGAGAGAGAGGGGACTGTTGTCTGCCATTTGGTAATTGAAATTTGATGGGTAAACTAATTATGCCATTATTAACAAATAAATTACTTATTAATTCCACCTAATGTTGATCTTTGAAGTAAATACTGATGCTTCATTCGTACTGTGTCCGTCCTCTTTCCTTTCTTCTGAATAGCAGACCCGCCTAGATCCCCTTTGTATGACAGGAAAACAGTGCACACTGGCATGTCACCATTCTAGAAATAACTCATGTTGGCATACAAAGCAAAGATAGTTGAGGTGGAGCACCTAGTTGATTTTTCAGACAGCAGGATAAACCAGCAACCTTCTCACAACTGAGTCTCGAAGACAAGGAAAGTTATAACCCAAGCCTGGAGACACTTCAAAAAGAATGTCAGTTCTCTCTTCATTTATATCGGTTACTCATTTGGGCTACTAAATGCTGGAATATATCCATTTGATGGATAGTCATTTAATGCTTAGCCACATAAAGACTATTATATGAGACTAATCTTTAAACTAATTTAGAAAAAAAGAGGTTAAAGAAAGGATCATGTTAGTTTCAGACTGGAGTCGCCCTGAAGTGGTACAAAGAGCTTTTCCACACTGGGTGCGTGTGCCCAGAGAGAACTGTCCACTGACATGAGTCACCCTGAATTTTTTTTTTTAATGAAATCTGAGCCGCAGACAGAAATCAACACTGATTATAATCTTTAGATATCCTCTCTAGACTGGAGGGAGGAAATCGAGCCTGTGATGTGGCTGCCCTCTCTAGCAAGAGAATATATACATAAATTATCCAACATAAGTAGCACACATATAGACTATATATACAAATATATATGTATTACACATCTGGCTACGTTTCAAGTTGCAGAAAAAAGCATGATGAGGGAATCTCGCCTGTTCCTGGTGTCACCAAGCTTGAGCACATGAGTCCTAGCCGTGTCTGTTTAATATTATTTACAGGCACCGAGACACAGAATTCATGTTGTTTAGCCTCAGAATTGTCTACAGAGTCTCTACTTTTAAGTATTAAGGAGACACTGGCACTGTTTTGTATATGGTTAAGCTGGGTGAGTTAACTATGCCTGTTTCCGGAGGTTCTATTACTTGAGGAAGATGGGCTTACACAGAATCCCTCAAGGCCTGTAACTTGTCTTTGCGCTTCTATCATAAACACAAACGGAGCCAGGACCACCAAGTGTTATCTCACACACCGACATTTTGACATTTTACTGCAAGATTTATGGCTGTAATAAACAGTCTCAGTACCTTTCCTGAACCTTCCACAGCCTCCCTCGGCAAGCAAGCCATAGCATAATCCCACTGAATCGGATAACCTTTTGAAAAACATTAAAACTAAAAAGCACCTCTTGTCTTTACATACTATCCAAGACACCAAAGAAGAGCTAGGAAGAAACTAACTCAATTAGAGAAAACAAACCAAAGTTTACCAGCAGCATCTTGCCCGGGGAGGAAAGATGGGGTGCCCTGGAATGGAGCAGAGAGGGAGCGTGCTAATCTCCGCACACCAACTGGCTCTAGTCCCAAGCGGGGCTGAAGCTACCTTTTCCTTGGGAAACTGCTAAGCACATTTGCTCATTTCCATGTGCAGGGATAACATACATTCCCCCAAAAGCTTTCTTAAAATCCCATTAAGTGAAATAACTTTTCATCATGTCCTCGAATCCCAGATGGAGGAGGCGAGTGGAAGGGAGTCTGGGGGAGAGGGGGAATAGGAGGAGGCAGTGTTTGCAGCCCGGTTTGAATCTGATTTGAATCATTTTGAATATATTTGGAACAGCCTTCCCACTTGAATGCAACCCTGTCCCAAGTTTCAAAGTGACCGAACAGTGACACCGTGTGCATTTTGTTTCTTATTAATCTTACACATTGACAGTCTTTGTTAAGTCACAGGCGCGCCCTCACCAGCCGACATTTTCATATTTGTTAGACGCGCTGACCTGAAGTTCACCTCAGCCTTGGACTTTGCGCTTCTAAAAGGTCTATACAGTGTCTTTTAGAGAGCAGGGTGCTTTGCCCAGGTCAGCCCTTCCCAGGAAAAACCAAGGGGAAAAGGCAAAGGAAATGTAAGCATTATGGGATGTATTGACTGTATTTGTCCTTTGTTCTTTAGAGTGAGGGCCTCCAGGCCGTCCTCTATCTCCAGCGCTTCCCTGGAGCACACAGGGGAATGGCAGGATTTTAAACTGCCTCGGAGTGACATTTTAGGGCTTCCTCCCACCTACACGAGGCGTTTGGTTATAGAGGAACAACACTTGACTGACCATTTTTACCAATTAATTTGTTTAGGGTGTAATTTCCTGGTGATGGTTTAAAATAAAAATACAGCCCAGATATAAGGACTGATATGCATTTTAGGATTATTATATTTTAGTACCAGGATGGTATTAAAAAACAAAACAAAACAAAAACTTAATGATCAAAATCCTCTAAGGAGGTAAGCATTCTCAAAACAGTGACTTCCACAGGTCCATTTTGTCACTAGACTAGCTTAAAGGGTGTTTTTGAGTATTGATGTTAAAATGTTTCTTAGGCATGTCACATGGCTTTAACCAAAAATACAATGGAAAGGTTCCCTGGGAGAGACATAATTTCTGGGTGAGCAAGTGGGGGCTGAGTTCTCTTCTTTTCATTTCAAGAGACCAGATGTGAAGTGTTCACTGCTGTAACAGCAGTGACCTTCCATTTCATCTGGCAAACCCCATTTGGCTCCAAGCTTCTGGCCAGAGTAAATCTTTACCCATTGCACAGTAGAGGAGATCCTCTGGTTACTTGCTTCCATGAAGGCAGCATTTGGGAAATATTTACTTTACCACTGAACATACACCTGGCACCATTAAATCTAATTAGCCTGAGTGTGTAGAGATTGTCTCAAACATACTTGCAAGGTTGACATTCTGAGTCCTTAAATTATTCCCAAAATAAAGAAGAAAAATATTTTATCTTTCTCATTGTTGTTTTCCCACCTTGATTGTTTGAAGGTCAACATATAGGAAAAGAAAATATGTCCCCTAGAAAATAGATTCCAGCCCAGACACTTAAAGCTAATCTAGATGTATGAAAAATAAAATATTGGTTAACACTTCATTTGCAACAGACAAATGAGGCATGGTTCCCCGTCTGCTTCTTGAATACACTGTCCCCTTTCTCTTCTGTTCTCCCACCCTCCTCCTTAATTCTTTTCTTGTCCTGGGTTCATCCTCCACCCCTGGTCCACACCTATTTTTTAGAGGTGTTTTCTGGAGAGCAGAAGCCTGGTGGTTTAACAATGGCATGGCATGTAGGAACTACAGATTGTCGCAGTATTTATATCCAACAGTGGTTTAATAATAAACATAACAGAGAAATTTCCAACCACGTGAACACAATAACGCTAATAAGCACTTTCCTCCGGGTAGTGGTGATTTTAGGAATCCTGCCCCTTTTATGAGGGCTTCCACCTCCCTGCTCTGACAACCTCTGCGTTTATTGGGTTGCAGTTTTTGGGGTGCATAATCTATGCTTGAAAATTGCCAAGAATACTCTTTGCAAGATATCTGCCCTTTTCTAACACACTTTAGAGATCATTATATGTATTACAATATAAAAAAACCCACTCTGACTAATCAGAATCACTCCCTTTTTTCATAGAAAAGGGACATAATGGAACGTTAGAAATGTTAGAAGCTCGCTACTTGGTTTTTTTTTAGTGGTCCTCTGATGAGTTCTAAGCATTTTTATTTTGTGACAAGCCTACAAACCATTCTAGATTCTCCAACATTTAAGGTTTTGGTATTTTGGTAAGCCATGCCTATTTACCTGCAGCGATTCCCTCAGAATGGGAGTGATAATTCAATATGAAATACAGCATGTATTACTCCCGAAAAGAGGAATTCTCTCCCCTTTCCTCCGTAATTGAGGTCACTCAACCACTAGGGTTCACCTGGAGTCCACACCGTGATACACGCGTCACTCTGAGCTATTTTATCTTTTGTGCTGATAGTCAAGATCGCAGCTCTAACGTTGACATCAAACTCTGTCTGTGCAGATGACTAAGAGTGCTGCACAATGTAAACTTTTGACCCTCAACTTTTTGACCTGCAGTTGTAACGCACTAACCACAAAGATACACAGCCTGAGCCCCCTCTTCAGGAGGAAGGGGCCCCCCTCTGGATCCTAGGCAGTCCTGCCTCTGCCACTTTCTGTTGGAATTAGAGGACAGAGTATATATTTCTGTGTATTTGTGTTGTGACCATGTTTCCTGTCAAACCAGCCTCCTCCCCCTCCTCCTTTTTTTTTTTTTTTTTTAAAGTCAGGAATTAGGAGCTAGATTAACTTGAAGTCGCTGGTGACCCCACTAACGAGGACAATTTAGGGGAGCCCAGGAGAAACTTTTGAAGCAGAAGTGTAAGAAAAGAGAGAGGGGAGGGTGAGCTGGTAAGGGGGTGTGGGGTGGTTTTTGTTTTATTTAAAAATAAAGCCGCAGCCTTAATTGTTGGGAGAGCTGGCCCGGGCGGGCGGAGGGCCGGTTGACTGTGAACTTGTACTAAAGCGTGCTCTGCTGGCGGGTCCTAGGGTGTGCAGATTTATATTCTCTGCATTTACTTAACCCGGCAGTGAACTGCATGGGCGCCATTTGTTAGGCGATGACAGACTTCACCTCCAGCTAGGGCTGCTTCACAAAATCGCAATAATTACCCAGTAACCTTCATAACAAATATTATTATTGAAAAGGCCAGTTTGTGAAGAAGGGGTCTGGTAGAGGGACAAAATTCTTTTCAGAAAACACCAAACGAAACAAATCTAGGCTTCCCCTCCAGTTCTGGAGCTTAGGGCTGTGGATCCCCCTCCCTGTTTGACTGAAACACCCCCCCCCCAACTTTTGCCTTGGCATCCTGTTTATACTCTTGTGGAAGCCAAGGGTCTGCAGCCTAAAATGCTCTGCCTCCTTTCTGATGGGCAAGCCATGGGTAGACCCCAGCCAGAGAAGGGAAGGTGGCAAGGGCATCTTGCAAGCTAACAGCCAATTTTCTCTTCTGTGGTCGCTGGGATGCTACATTCTCCAACTCTCAACAAGTGAGAACCACTGTTTC